GCATTAATTACTTTTGTCCGTCTCATCATCTGCACGAGCATGAATTAACGAGCTGTTATTCTGCCGCTGGACATCACTGAAGCGGAGAAATTAACACTAGTTTGATCATGTATAAATATCATTATAACTATATTGTATAAATATGATTATAACTAGGTCTACAGCAACCTGATAATCAAAAAACAAATGACATGATATCACAAGCGATTGTCTTCTGACTGTAGACACTTCTCATATAAGTTAGCTTTAGAAGCATACAGTACTATTTGATCTATAAAATTTGTAAAATAAATATTTGGTTTTAGGTTGAACGTTAGACATTGGCGTCGGCCTGACATTGACTTCTGACGTCAACATGATTTTCATTTCCAAACAAAATGAAACTTTCCCCATGACGTTGGGGTACAACGTCAATCTGATGTCATGTTGATGTCTTATACCTACTGGGTGTTTAAGGCCATTTCGGTCATCATACAGTAAACATCTGTCATCTTCTCATCAGTGACATGCATGGGTTAATGTGTGTGATGATTTTGGACATCTTGTACACTTTTAATGCTTTCAATCAGTTTGCTGAAATTATAAAGTGCCCATGTCTTGAGGTCATCATAATGCGATTTACCTACTATGTGTGATCTGATTGGACAGGAATCACAGGATTGATTTTTCTAATCCCCATAGACAAGACAAAATAAAGTAGTGACTGCAGGGTGAAGGAAAGTAGTGGAGTAAAAGTACAGATACAGCACTAAAAATGTACTCCAGGGAAAGTAAAAGTACACATTTTTAAAACTATTCTAGTAAATTACAATTCCTGAGAAAAATTACTCCATTGATACTCAACTAATCAAATTGGTTGCATTTTAGTACCTGCTTTTCCCATGGTTAGTGTGATTTATTATAAGGGGTGCCCAAAGTGGGGGTGGATCCAAATGCAGCATAACTGGAATTTATTTAAACGGTCCAGAAACATCAATTAGAATAAACATATGCATGGCAAAAGCAATGCATGCTCAGACATAACAGGGATGACTAAAATGACTACAGATGACAAGAGGGTATATGTAGTAATGCAGACAATATGATAACAAACAAATTAAGAAACAAGGGGGATGGAGATAATAAGCAACCAAGGCAAATTTTGGAAACACAAGAAAGGTAGTGTGATGGGAAATGGCATGGAAAGCAAGAAGGCAACACAGAAGTAACCAGAACTGAAAAAAAGTTTGTGCCATTTATTTATCCGCTGTGATTTCGGGAATAATTTACAGTTATGTCATACACAGACAATCCTCAAAAGGCAAACCAAACATATTTCAGTGACTTTACAAGAGAACGCCTGGTGGCTGATACATTTAACCAAAGTACTACACTAACAATTAAGAATGAGCATTTTTGATTCTGGCTTCTACTTCTGTGGAACTACTGGAGATCAGATCAAATTTACTGATGGAACCAGAGTTGAAGTGAAAGGTACTGTGCAGTCTTCAGTATATTGTTATGATCATTTAATGTTTATAGTGCTTCTTGGTCATCAATGTCAAATTCTGGAAAAATATCAGTTGGCAAATGTCACATCAGCAGAGTAAATGTCAATATGTTTTAAACATTTAGAAAACAATATTAAATCAGGAGAAAATGACACAAGAACCTCAGAAAACGGTAGGTGTGTTGCCTTTTTATTTTTAGCAAAGAAGCTGAAATTTCTCAGTATTTTTCTGGACTTCTTAGGTATGAGCTGAATCAAATTTTAATGTTTGTTTTATTTTGTAAAAGTTTGATAACAGTTCTTCCAAATTTTAAATAGAAATATTGACATTTAGAGAGAAAAAAAATGTTTTGGGGATATTTCCTCATGGTTTATGCAGATTTCTTTAAGTAAAAGTAAAAATATACTTTAAGACCCTTTGAAGACCCTTATGAAAAAAATTTTAGACTTATATAGGGCTAAACATTAAGGATTTTTTTAATGGTCGGGTTACTGTAATCTTTTTTGCATTAATAGATTAATATTGCTTTATTGTTCCCCGATTAGGGAATTTAGTTTGGAGAATTTGCTGTAAAAACTGTCTAACAGCCCTTGTGTATTGTATCGTTATAAATAAAAACTTGAATATGAAAAAAAGTTTTGAGATTAATTATTGGTGACTGGGCGTCGGCCCGATTAAATACACTGTTAAAAAAATTCTGTAATTTTACGGTTTATTTCCGGCAGCTGGGGTGCCGGGAAAAAAAAAAAAGTAAAATAACGGCTTCTAAATTACAGAAATTTACTGTAAAATAAGGTTGAATTACAGATTTTAACCAGAAATTTAAAATTAATGAAATTTCTGTAGTTTAATGTCTGTTATTTTACAGTAAATTTCTGTAATTTACTAGTCGTTATTTTACGGGGAAATTTCTTTACAGTGTTGCTTTACTTGGACATTGGAAAATGAAGAACTGTTTAAAATAATTTAAGACGACAACACAATATTTCAGCGAATTTAAGACATTTTAAGACTCCGCAGACACCATATTATTTGTGTGACCACACAATTGTGATGTTAATTGGCAAAATAACCCTCATTTTCAATCTCAATCATATGGAAAAAAAAATGTATTCTGTCAAATTCTTGTTCTAAAATTTTTTTTTTCAGAATTAACACCTAGTTAATGCTGAGAATTTTTTATTGGTCTCTTACTTTCTTTTTTTTTTTAGCTATGTTACGAACCGCATAGTTTTGCTGCGTGTATGTTCCTTCTGTCTCTCTCTTTCTCTCTCTCTCTCTGTACCGGCCCTGTCATTTTCTCAGGTACCGCCTACTTTGGAGCACTATTGGCTGACAGGACTGCCAATCCTAATCAGCCGTGTGACGATGACTTCTCTCTCTGCCAATCGCGTTCGTTGCAGAGCCCTTTAAAAACGGAAGCGGCAACGGGAGAAATCAGCTGTTGTTGTTTTGGCGTGTTGTCTGTTTGGTGGTGTCCGTGTGCGTTGTCGCTGTTACTGATGTGTGCTTTGATTGAGAGCAATTGATGTTGACTTTGAGTGAGTAACTGATGACTTTGAGTGAGATTTGTTTGAGAGTTCTGACGTGTGTTTCTACATCTATAGCCCGCTAATGCTCTATTCAAAACCTTCTGTGATTTGACAAGGGAGATCTGTAACAACATAGTAAGTCACGTGACATACATATTTGCACGCAGGATTATTGATGTATAGACACACTAGTACCGAAGTGCGCTAATTTTGTATTTTTATTTATTAGTTAGAGTAAGTTCAGAGCGCTTTGCGCTGAAGACTTTTCTTTTCATATTGTTATTTTCTTATTTAGTGGATTGGGGAGGAGATTAAGGGAATGTTTTTGTTACATTTATTTCTTTGATTTCCATGCGCAAACTTCAGTTCCCTCTCCTTGTCTTGGTTCTTTTCAAATTTATCTAATTGTTTGTAAATATTGTAAATAATGTGGGAGCAATAAATCTTTTGCGGTGCTAATTTGTTGTTTGGTGTTTTCTTTTGCCATTTTTCAACATCAGTTTATACTTTGGTTATCTTTGTTACTCCTTTTAATACAAATTGCCATCAAGGATCGTAACAGCTATATATGGTGTTCTCTGTGGTGTTACTTAACTGATGATCTGTGAATAGCAAACATAACATGATAAATCAGCAGTGTCTACTAATGATGCATGTTCTGAAGATATATTTTTCAAGCTGACTTTTCTGTTTGGCGGCATAATAATTTTGACATGTATTCTTCCTCTAATTTTGGGGATTATTAGAAAACACAAACTGCAGAAACATAAAGGTGAACATTTTAGACATGGTTGAACAGATTTTTGAAATGACTATTTGAAATGACTTTAGAAAGCATTTTCATTTTATCGTTCAAAGCAACATTTATCATTAAAGCAACATTTTCTCTGTTTTGTTGCAGTTGCTGAATGTCAAACAAGACAGCATGATGACAAGGTAAACTCCACAAACCTAAATTATTCTAAAGGCTACATAAAGCCATTCTCAAATGAGTTCTGTCTCTTTGTTCTGGTTGTCTTTGTACACTTTGTGAGACACTAAAATTCCATTTCCCCCAACTTCTAATAGTTTGTTTAATCTTAAAAAAAGAGAAAACAATGCAAGTAATTAAATAATATTATATCTCATCCTGTTGAGCAGATTATTGGATTTAAGGGCTATAAAATAATAATAATAATAATAATAATATTTTTATACATAAATTATGTATAAATAATTATTAATAATACTATTATAACATTGTGTACATTAGGAATAGGAAAACATTTTTTTTATAGTTCCATTTATTATTTAATAATTATGTTTGAGCATTATTGTTTTTCATGTTACTTGGTGGTTTAATGAATCAGCATAAAGATGTCATATGATCTGGATTTGCATCTTGAAATAAATGTTTGTACATCTTTGCAGGAAGAGGATTCAGTAGAATACGCAGCTGTGGATTTCTCAAAGAAGAAACCCCCAAATTCAAGAAAACATGCTGAGGACTCCGTTTACACTGATACCACTTAAAATATAAACCTTAAACATAACTTTTGTACAATAATTATGGCTCATTTTTGACAATTAAACAGAATTATGGTTTTACATTCCAAGAAATTTTTAAGGTGACCAATATTTTTCTATAATGTCTATACCATTTTTTTTGCAATACTGTACCTAACAAAAGTTAAAAATAATAAAAAAAGAAAAAAAATGTTTGCAATTAACTTTACCTTACTCAATAAATCTATTTCTCATTTTGGTTTCTTAATCCAAGTGTTCCTCAACTCTCAAATTGTAGTGATGTTTGAAGTTCTATTTAATATTCATATGTGTGCACTTTACTTCTTTTATAAGTGGATTTAAGGCATGTATTTTAAAAACTGAATAAGCTAAACTCAAAACTGATGATTTGATAAAATTTTTCGGATTTTATGGGTACCAAAATCATCAAATTTTAATCAAAATTTGAACTGCTAATATTAGCTGTCCACAGGCCTGTTGATTCACAGGTTTGTCATAGTTTTGCACCAGCATAAACCACACCCCCTGATATAAATAAAGCAGACTGGTTTCCTCATCTTAATCTCCTCGTTGGATTTACAGTACAGCAATGGTGTGTTTGTTAATTTCAGCGCTGTTGATGGGTAAGTGGTACTGCGCTAAAAATACTTTAATTGCAATATAAGAATGAATTAATTCAAGATTGAGTAAACAGCTAAGATATCATTTTTACAATCTATATATTATCAGAGTTTTACATATAAACATAATAAACCTGTTTTATTCCTCTGTGGGTTTTTTAGGTTTGCTTTCACTTGTCAAATCATCACAGACAGTCAATATATCAGCTCAACCAGGAGAAAATGTTACTATTTGGTGTAAACACATTGCAGGTGTTGGAAAGCACATACACTGGTTCAAGCAGACACACGGGGCTGTTCCGCTTGGCATTTTATACAAGATGTTACCCTATAATATTGAAGTAAACGCAACATATTTAAATCATTTTGCACCAGACCATTTTGTGATGTCTGTGAATCGCAAAAACACATCCTTAAGTATTTTGAACATCGATATTACTGATTCTGGTCTCTACTTCTGTGGGTGGTGCACTTGGAAGATTGTATTTGGTGATGAAGTACATCTAGACATTAAAGGTATTATTTCATTATCAGAAATACTATACGGTAACTGCTTGTATAGATTATGTACTGAAGATTTTTGCAAAGTAAAGTGGTAAATCTGTATGTTTCTTAGAGCAATTTATTAGTGATGTGGTGTATAGAAGAAGTTCTGTTAAATCACATGTTGAATTTTTTTTTTATTGCACAGTGAAAAGTGAAACACCACTGAATAATGAAACCAAAGTTATACATACAGGTTATTATAATTTTCTTTCATTCTCAATGTTTAAATATTATATAGAAAAAAAAATTTCATCTAGATGTAAAATCTGAGGTATTTTAACAGATCTCAAGAGTGAAATTTTGACAAAAGACTGTCCTGGAAACATCTTCTATAACCTGACCTTTATTTTTGGTGGTATTATTGTTGTCTTCATCATTTCCCTCACTCTTGGCATTATCAAGATCATAAGAACACTTGAAAAAGGTAACGGCACAATTTTAAAAAACTGTACAAGTGTGTTTAACACTAACTATATAAAACCTCTTCAAAAACTAAATGTCGTTTCTTTGTGTTTTCACAGATGCAAATCGCCATGTAACACATCACGAGGTAACAAATAATCTTTTTTTAAATTATTTTGTTTACATATGTTGAAACAAACAAAAAAAGAAACTACATAAAATAAAATTCTCAAATAAATTGTAACGCTTATTTAACTCCAAAGTCTTTTCCAATATCAGTTTTTATCAATATTCAAACATTTCTCAAGTGATATCAATGTTCTTTCGCATTTGACTTTTGACAGAAAAAACTGTAACGTGTCTGTCAATAAATCCATTTCAGGAGGCTCATTCATCTGTGTATGCAGCTCTACGATTCTCAAAACAGAAAACCAGAAGTGCAGCTGGACATAATGAAGATACAAAAGTTGTGTATTCTGCTACTAGATGACACACATTCAAATATTGTCATGCTTGGGTATATAGAAATGTATGATTGTAAAATATATTTGAGCTCTCCAAACTTCAGAAAAAAACGAATATCAAATTTACAATTACTTTAATAAATGGTTACTAAATTTGAAATTTAAAAAAAAGTTATGTTATAAGCTGAGAAAATATTATATACTGTTCATTCTATGTCAATGAAGGACTACTCACAGGGGTGTCAAACTCAATTCCTGGATGGCCACTGCACAGTTTAGTTCCAACCCTGTTCCAAAACACTTACCTGAAGGTTTCAAACAAGCCTGAAGGACTTAATTAGTTTGATCAGGTGTGTTTAGTCAGGGTTGGAACTAAACTGCAGAGCTGCAGCCTTTCAGGAGTTGAGTTTGACAGGAGTCCTCTTAGTGCAGCTGGGCTCCTCAAAGCTCCAATAGACTAATGTCACATGGCTGGCATTTCAAAAGCGAAATCGAGGCTGCGGTGGAAAGAAACCCAGAAGTATTGCCTGGAGTCACACAAGAACATTGTGTACCTGGCTGTAAATCTTATCAGCGAAGAGAAAGTGACACAAATTTATAATTTCACTGCCTTCCGAGTGACCCCAAGGTCTGTTCTGAATGGATAATGAAAAAAAAAAGGATATCAGACCTTATTTTCAACTAAGTTAAGAGAAATGGCACTAGTTAGCTAACAATATATTTCATATTTACACAATTTAGATGCCATTAATCAAATTCAAGTTAATGAACTGATTCTTTCACTATATGAGACCTGTCATGATACAGAATTTCGGCACCAATCGGTACTGAAATTTTAAAAACATCCATTTCCTGCTAACATTTAATCAACTTTAAGCACATTCTTTACCACCGCTGACTTGCCATAGTATTTACCAGTGCTCAACAAAAATGACTGTGGCCGTGAAGGTCATCAGTTCACTGCACTTTACTGATGTTTATGAAAAGCAAAAAAAGACGAGCGATTCGCTGATGACTCAACTGGTCTTCGCTTCAGAGTCCGTGTATCTGTGTTTGCACTGTGAAGAGCATTAAACGGTCTTTTCTATTGAGCACTGGTGAATATGCCAACTCAGCTGTATTTAACAACTACCTCTATGGCACTTAAATGTTAGCAGGAAATGGACGTTTTTAAAATTGCAGTACCAGGACATTGCTATTAGAGACAACACAAGAGTGTGCTACAGAGAACTGCATTGTTTTATCGATCACCGGGTTACATAGGCAGAAGCAGGGAAGTGTCCCCACTGTGTTTACCTGGTGCATGAACTGAAGCCTATAGGAGGACACCTAAGCGTATTACTCCTAAAGAGATTCTAGTTTTGTTTGATGTCTAATATGATTTAATTGTAAATGAACCTTAACTAAATGGTATAAAAGTGATGTTTACACAATATTTGCACTTTAAAACAGCTGAAGGTTTGTAGTCAACAGCATGTTGTTGCAATTTTTTACACTGTCCTATACTTCCGGGTTTCTTCCAACTGCAGGCTTACTTTCGTTTTTTTTTTTTTAAATGGCGTATGCGTGAAATAAGCAAATACACATTTCTGCTATTTGCTTACAGTAACCATGTGCTTCTCACCATAAACAGTTCATCTGCTCGTGATCATCTTTCAAATAAATTTGTCATGTTTGGTGTTTATTGACAGTTTATGACTTCAACGTTGTAGTGACAAACCCAATAGAGAAATTGATGTATTTCAATGTACAATCTATTTATTATCGCTTAGTCATGGCCTGATGAGTATACTGTATGCTAATATGCTTCTCCCTCATTTTATCTCCTCAAGTTTGCTTTGACGTTTAGCTGGGTTTGAGGGTTGGGTTTCACTCATGTTTGACAATGCTTTGCTCAGGGATTAAGGAGGAAAGGTAACCGTTGATCAGGAAGAGTGTGCTTCTTCTTTACAACGGGGCATAGCCTCATCCACTTCACTGTCTTTGTTGTACAGCAGTGCATATGTTACAGCTAAGTTTCTCTATGTTAGCATGTTTTATTCTACTGTCTGCATATTTAAACATGTACAGTTGAAGTCAGAATTATTAAACTCCCTGAGTTATTAGCCCTCCGTTTTTTTCCCCCCCATTTTCTGTTTAACAAAAAGATGCTTCAACACATTAATAAACACAAGTTTATTAATTATTAAAAAACTAAATAAAAAAAAACGTTATTCATTAAAACTAATTTCTTATAACTGATTTATTTTATCTTTGCCATGATGACAGTAAATAATGTTTGACTAGATATTTTTCAAGACACTTCTAAACAGCTTAAAGTGACATTAAAGGCTTAACTCGGTTAATTAGGTTAACTAGGCAGGATAGGGTTATTAGGCAAGTTATTGTATAATGATGGTTTGTTCTGTGAACTGTCGAAAAAAATATAGCTTAAAGGGGCTAATAATTTTGTCCTTAAAATGTTTTTTTTTTTCATTAAAAACTGCTGGAGTAATTGGAGTGAGCTAAATAATTGATTTGAATACACCATCCTTAAGCTGCTTTCTGTTTTCGATTATGAATTCAGAATAGCAGCATAAGCTTCAAGCCTTACAATGTTGGCAGACAATCTTTTAAAAAAATACACAAAAACATTGTTAAATGTCTGTGTGAAGCTCTCAGCACAAAAGTTACTTTTTTCCATCCACCAAACTGACCCCAGCACAGCTCTCACATCTAAACACCAACTGCCACACGCTTGACACAAAAATTTCCATAACCACACACAAAATACCCCTTTGCCTTTAAGTGAGGTGATAAGTCACTGATGATAGCACCTTAAAAATAATAGCCGAGAATCTGAAAGTGAAACCTAATTAAAAACAGGTTTAAATTAAATTAAATAAATAAATAAATAATACAGCAAAGAATGCATGCAGCATTACTAACAGATTTGCTGGTCACAAATTAAATGTCATTTGTGAAAATAATTTGGTATCAAATAACAACAGAAGTTGCTTGTATTACATTGTGTCTTTTGAGCAAGACCACACATTAATGGCAATTAAATACAAATAAGTGAAATTACCTGAAAATGTGGCGTTATATTCTCCATATGTACTTAGTGTTTCCTTTAGGATTGTTTACAGCTGTGGCGGCAGGTCTTTTACACAAATCTACCAACTGTATGGCGTTATTTCAATGACAATTGAAGAAATTTTGTGAGCAAAGTATTACAATTTGATACCGCATTTATGTAATACGAGCATGTGAATCTCTTGGCTTGCATGCCGATTTCCTCTGCTCGTGCACAAACCTTCTTGCGCCCACAAATATACGCTGCCTGAGCGCAGATCTTTTTACGCGCTCTCAAATATACGCTGCTCAAGCGCAGATCTTCTGGTGCGCTCTCAAATAAACGCTGCTGAAGTGCGATTTAGTGCATTTATGTAACGAGTATGTCTCCAATATTTATAAGATTCGCTAGGAATATTTATGAATGTCTCCAATAGACCTACAGAGGGGCATTAATGCGTCCTGAAGTAAAGTGAAACAGCAATAAACTCCCGCAAGATAAAGTCATTGTATGCAGAACCCCAGACCTTTTTCTATAAATAAAGTATAATTATGGAAACTGTGTTCATCTTAACTGAAAGCTACATTGTGTTTGTTGGCCACATGCATCACGCACCTGTCAGTCAGTCAGTCAGTCAGTCTGTCTGTCAGCACGTAACCTTAAAGGGTTAAACAAATAACATACATCACTACTACAAGTACAGTTGCACTGTTTTAATTAACTTACCTTTTAATGCATTTTGGTGCAATTATAACCCGCTATTAAAAAAACAATGTTGTGAATGAGAAGCTGTAATGTAGCCTTAGCGGCAAGAAATTTGGTGCGGCGCCCCACCATGGTAGAATGAATGTAGTGGAAACCATGGTATATAGTACATGCTTAAATGTATTTATCTGCTTGTGTTTTATACAGTATAATCTAAAATACATTTTTCTTCAATGTGATTTCTGTTGGTTTTCAGTGCAATTATTTTGTTGTGTGCTGCACTTGCATTTCTTGCTGTTTGTTTGAAAAATATGATATGATATGCAGCATAAATAGCATTAATGTTTTGCACCTATCTTTGCCTGAATTAGTCTAAAAGGCACATTATACATTTTAAATGGCATAAAAAAGACAATTTTTTTTGTTGATTCTTTCAATGCATAATATAATGTTTGTCACCAGTCTCCTTTTTTCTATATAAGGAGCATTATTTAGATGGAAATTGAGTACTGTGCCACATATTTAGCATATGTATACTGTATTTCAATGCACCATTAAGGCATGCAACAGAATGCAAACCACAAGCTAGATCTTTTCACACCTTGACTAATGGTTTCACAAATAGACATAGCCCTACAGAAAGACAGCACAAAAACAATGCATTCAATTCACAGTGTTCAGGTTGCGGTCAGCCTTTGTTTCTAAAAGTAACATAGCATAAACAACCACCATTACGCATGCATATAGGTCTCTGTAAGTAAAATTTTCCATCCACGCATCAAGCTGCAAACAGATGTTTAGAATTTGACCATCAAAATTACCAACCAGCCCTCCAAAAGTAAAAAAAATAAAAATTGTAATGCACTGTATACATAATAGTGCATTTTATATAAAACATGATATGTAGGTGCCAAATTCCAAGGTATGTTATTCCTAGATAACAGCTAAATAATAGGGATGCACAGATTTGGATTTTTTGGCTGATATTGATAACCGATAACTTGATAACTTGATAATTGATAACACTCTTTCAAACATATCTACAATGATGAGGAATATGGATATTTACTTAGTTAATAACACACAGCAATAACACAGAAAGAAAGGACGAACTTTGAGGGAATAAACAATGTGAGGTAAGATCCATTATAGTGCACTGGACAAGTCTGAACAAGTTCCACCCACACATGCGCGAGACAAGCAGTTCTGAACAATTACGTAATTTATTGGCTGAAAGACATCAGCCAAATTTTGACATCAGACTGATAATGGTAACATTAAAAATAGCATTGTTCGGCAGATAACGATATGTCCACCGATATA